TATGTTACCATAGATGCACCATTTACCTCATATACTACATGCGGTATGTTACCATAGACGGCACATATACTACACATGGTATGTTACCATAGACGGCACATTTACTAGATTTACTACATATACTACATATACTACATGCGGTATGTTACCACAGACCACACATATACAACATGCAGTATGTTACCATAGACGACACATATACAACATGCAGTGTGCCGTATGCCGCACTTTTCAATACCTCTTTTCTACCTCATATACTACATGCGGTATGTTACCATAGACGGCACACAGACTACATATACTACATGCGGTATGTTACCATAGACGGCACATATACTACATATACTACATGCGGTATGTTACCATAGACGGCACATATACTACATGTGGAATGTTACCATAGATGGCACACATACTACATATACTACATGCGGTATGTTACCATAGATGGCACATATACTACATGCGGTATGTTACCATAGACGGCACATATACTACATGCGGTATGTTACCATAGACGGCACATATACTACATGTGGTATGTTACCATAGACGGCACATATACTACATATACTACATGCGGTATGTTACCATAGACGGCACATATACTACATGCAGTATGTTACCATAGACGGCACATATACTACATGCAGTATGTTACCATAGACGGCACATATACTACATGCAGTATGTTACCATAGACGGCACATATACTACATGCGGTATGTTACCATAGACGGCACATATACTACATGCGGTATGTTACCATAGACGGCACATATACTACATGCAGTATGTTACCATAGACGGCACATATACTACATATACTACATGCGGTATGTTACCATAGACGGCACATATACTACATGCGGTATGTTACCATAGACGGCACATATACTACATGTGGTATGTTACCATAGACGGCACATATACTACATATACTACATGCAGTATGTTACCATAGACGGCACATATACTACATGTGGTATGTAACCATAGACGGCACATATACTACATATACTACATGCGGTATGTTACCACAGACGGCACATATACTACATATACTACATGCGGTATGTTACCATAGACGGCACATATACTACATGCGGTATGTTACCATAGATGGCACAAATACTACATATACTACATGCGGTATGTTACCATAGACGGCACATATACTACATGCGGTATATTACCACAGACAGCACATATACTACATGCGGTATGTTACCATAGACGGCACATATACTACATATACTACATGCGGTATGTTACCATAGACGGCACATATACTACATATACTACATGCGGTATGTTACCATAGACGGCACATATACTACATATACTACATGCGGTATGTTACCATAGACGGCACATATACTACATGCGGTATGTTACCATAGACAGCACATATACTACATGCAGTATGTTACCATAGACGGCACATATACTACATATACTACATGCGGTATGTTACCATAGACGGCACATATACTACATGTGGTATGTTACCATAGACGGCACATATACTACATATACTACATGCAGTATGTTACAATAGACTGCACATATACTACATACACTACATGCGGTATGTTACCATAGACAGCACATATACTACATATACTACATGCGGTATGTTACCATAGACCACACATATACAACATGCAGTATGTTACCATAGACGACAAATATACAACATGCAGTGTGCCGTATGCCGCACTTTTCAATACCTCTGGCATTATCTGTTAACACATCACCAGTGAATTACTGTGTCAGTTGGCTTGACCTCTGCCATGAGGCAAACACATTTAAGTGTTGATTACTGGATTAATAATTCATCTGAAAACTGTCTCAGAGTTGATGTAGTGACATAGTGGCCACAAGCACTTGACCTTTGCTCTCCACTCAAGTAGTACATAGATGCCAATCCCATGATTCCATGAAGCCAGACCAAACAATCACTTGTTTACAGGAATGCTCTTTTGAAATGTCTAGATGCAGCAGGGAAAACATATTTAAACAAGGAAATTTGTTCAAGGTCTCAAAGGAACAGTCTGGAATTCTCAAAAAAGCAGTTATGCCTAGAACTGATGTCTATCACATGTTTAAGTTTGATGAACTATGCAAATGTATATATTGTCATGATTGCGTAAATCAAGGTGAGCGATACAGGCCCTATCGGCCTCTTGTTTAAGATAAACGCACAAGATTTCCTGGAGTGACCATGAGAGCATGATTTGTGTGTGAGAGTAGACAGATACACAGTCAACACCTTACAGAACAGGTTTCACAACAAGAAAGCAGATGTTTGTAAAACTAGCCGAAAAACTCTGTTTGTTTGGTGTTTTACACAGTCAGCACGATATTCCTGCTTTACCCTGACAGCCTGTGTGTAATCAAGTCTGAGCCATATGATGCCACATAGTGAACAAAGTCACTGAGCCACACAACCCAATCCAATCTCGTTACCACCAATCAAGTGAGGGGTGGTGGGGTAGCCTAATGGTCAAAACGTTCACTCGTCATGAAGTCTCCACAAGGGTACAATGTGTGAAGCCTATTTCTGGTATCCCCAGCCGTGATATTGATACAATATTGCTAAAAGTGGCGTAAAGCCACACTCACTCATTCACTAATCTAGTGAGCACTGTAGCTCACCTGGGAGTGTACGGCATTCACTTCAAATGAAAGGTTTAGTGAGCAATATTTTAATACCATTCTATGTCATTCATATCAAGCTGTCATAAACTTAAAAAACGTCAACATCATTCTTCACACAGAGCTGAATAAGCATTTTCATATAATGGATTGTTTTATCGATTCAATAAAACATTCCGATAAAGTAGGTATCATGATTAGATAAGTATGCAAATGAGGTTGGCTAGCAGAACTACGTTAAAGCTTCATACATTGATACAATGCCTTGTTTCTCAAACACTAATGACTAATGTTCCCAACAGGTTTAGATAGGGGTTTTAACGCGTGTCACCAAAACATGGCAACAAACAAACAATCAAACGTGCTGCCACTTTGGCACTGCATATGAAATCGGGCAATAGAAATGTGTATACATTAGCTATTACTGACGCTATTTCATTGAGTGAAATTATGTCTTGAACAACTGTTATTTTAAGAATGACATTACCTGATACAAAGATTATTACCATCATGCGTAAATGTAAATATCATATATCAAGAATTCAAAAGCTTGCATACCGTATTCGACGTAATAAGTGCCCAGGGCGCTTTCGAAATTGGAAATAGGGGGCTCTTATTAGAATATAATTTGGGTGAAAGAGTCGAAAGATCGTAAATTTTATGGTTTCTGCTGACAGCCTGAAATGATACAAAAGAAAAATCTGTACGTATTTTACACGACAGATATATTTTTCCAGAATTTAATTGCCCGTAATTAAGGGTGCATATAACACACCAGTGGGTATTATACACGAATAAATGTACACGAATTGCGTACATTGATCAGTCAGAAGGGTGCTAATTGGGATTGTTCACTAGCCAATATATTGGAAAATATCGCCGTGGGCGCTTATTAGAGCGGGGCGCTTATTACGTCGAATATGGTAATACATATTATTAATAGCTAATATATGATATTTATGACACGGTGAGGTGAGGTGAAATGGGGTTTTACATCATGTCTAAGATTATTGTATTCATATAGCGACTTGTGTGTGTTTATGGCTGCTTGTCCAGCCTAATGCTGATTTAAAGAGCTAGTCCACTGAGATACCATACCGCAGTTTAACATGAATATCCTACTCAGTATACTGACTCCGAGCCGACCAGTCCTTGTTTTAGCCTCTTAATGCCTCTTAATATATTAGGAACAAAAACTGTATTATGTTTGTGATCTGTAAAATAAAATAAACATATGGACCAGCAGAGTGTAGTCTTCCCATGGGAGAAATGTGTAGTAGACTTAAGGGAAGAAAACCCCCTATTGGCACCATCAACTTCTGACCCCTGCTGACCACCGGATTGGCAGTCTGACACTCTCTGCTTGACCTGATGAATTCCTTGTTTCACAGATGTAAATCACAACATCCTTGACTGCCTCACATCTTTAGTGATTCCAAAGTTTGCGAGCAGTGAACCAAATGACATATTATCTCGCCTGTGAACCAAATGACTTATTATCTCACCTGTGAACCAAATGACATATTATCTCAACTATGTACCAAATGACATATTATCTCATCTGTGTACCAAATGACATATGATCTCACCTGTGAACCAAATGACATATGATCTCATCTGTGTACCAAATGACATATTATCTCACCTGTGTACCAAATGACATATTATCTCACCTGTGAACCAAATGACATATGATCTCATCTGTGAACCAAATGACATATGATCTCACCTGTGAACTAAATGACATATGATCTCACCTGTGAACCAAATGACATATGATCTCACCTGTGAACCAAATGACATATGATCTCACCTGTGAACCAAATGACATATGATCTCACCTGTGAACCAAATGACATATGATCTCACCTGTGAACCAAATGACATATGATTTCACCTGTGAACCAAATGACATATTATCTCACCTGTGAACCAAATGACATATGATCTCACCTGTGAACCAAATGACTTATGACCTAACCTGTGAACCAAATGACATATGATCTCACCTGTGAACCAAATGACATGATCTCATCTGTGAACCAAATGACATATGATCTCATCTGTGTACCAAATGACATATGATCTCACCTGTGAACCAAATGACATATGATCTCACTTGTGAACCAAATGACATGATCTCATCTGTGAACCAAATGACATATGATCTCATCTGTGTACCAAATGACATATGATCTCATCTGTGAACCAAATGACATATGATCTCACCTGTGAACCAAATGACATGATCTCATCTGTGAACCAAATGACATATGATCTCACCTGTGAACAAAATGACATATGATCTCATCTGTGAACCAAATGACATATGATCTCACCTGTGAATCTTGAATGAACCAGAAAACCATCCCCAGCAGTGTTGGGAAACACAGGGACATGGTGTAGTGTCCCAGGTAGGCGAAATACAGAGCTATCTTCACACCAAAGTACTCACAGATCTTCTCTGAAAGCAAAATAAATATGTTGAGGAGAATGTCCAAGTAACTCTCTATTCCTTCAAAATAATGGAACCGAGGCCCAACAGCTAAATTCTCCTACTTAAAACACATCCCTACTCTTACAATTTATCGAAACATTTTAAAGAGCTGTGTAACTTGCATTGTAAAAATAAGCTAACGACGGAGCTCATGCAACAGAGCCAGTGAACACAATCAACTGTCCATTCCTGAAAATAATGGATCGCTAAAACAATAGAATGACATCAAATACCATCCTCTAATTATCATTACAATACTTCATTTACAGTCGATTCTTCAAGAGTTTATACCATGGTATAACTATAGCAACAGTTAAACACATTAAATATGGTTAATACACTGAACCAAAAACTTCAGGATCATGAATATTTTGGGGGATATTTTAATGACATTGTGCGCAGCCTTCACTACAAAAATATATCCCCCCAAATATTCATGATTCCTAATTTATGTTGTTCAGAAAATATAGAATATGTCAGTTATATGCACTCTTAATGTGGGAGGAAAGCCCAAAGCAATGCAAGGCTACAGATTCTGACCACGCAGGTGACACATACAAGCACCGGTATGGTGCCAACAGGACCATTATCAAAACATTATGGGATTTGAACTACATCTGAATCAGCAGATCCTGCCACAACCAAGGGATGCAAAAGTAGCGCAAAGAACAAATCTCTTCAGACCACTTAGCCATCTAGTCATGCCCACATTGGAAAGGTTTGGCAAAAGCTGAAAAACAATATAAGAGTTTTGACCGAATCTTACCAGGGATTTGATGTGTAGAAAACATTGACTCGAAAACTCGAGTCTCCAACCTGACATGGACTCTAATTCCTGATTTCAGTGACAATCGCCTGTGCAACCTGATATCCAAATCTAAACTGTAATAAAACAGGTCTAACTTCGTGGAGTATTACTTGAGTACTTTGATTAAAAACATGAAAAGACTTGGTAAATATCTGTCAACGCCCAGTTGGTGGTGCACATGCTTAGCAAATCCTGCAATGGACTGTAATTTGCATGGGTCACCATGTTGTTTATGAACTGGATGTTGCTTCCGTTATGCGATTTTGATTAGACTATGTATAGACTCATTAGTCCAACCAAATTATAACTCCAAAATTCCAGCCAGGTTCGGGAAAGGTGGATCAAGACTCTTATAGTCAGTTAACTCCCTTGTCTCATAAGGATTGAAAAGAGTGGACACCCAACACCCAGACTTCATGTGGTGCCTCAATGGGGATTGGGTGGATTGATGGCTACCGACATTATCTCATTCACTCCTGACTAGATTAAGGTGGTTGTTAGAGTTAATTCATGATGAATGTATTCATTTAATCCCTGTGGGGGATGACAGGTTAGAGCAGGACTCCAGTACCTTACACTTGTTGTACGAGGATCAGATGTAAACCATGCATGACCTGGCTGATCGTGTGTCAGAGTGGTTTGTAGTTGGATTCTTCTCAGTTACTGTAAATCTTGAAATTAATTCGTCTCCAAATTAATGCGACCGCTGACCCCTAGCCAAAAATGTGACTCAATATTAATGCAACTCCCACCTCAAACCGTGTTTGTTTATATACAAGTTGCTATTTCTGCTATCCAAAGTGTGCAGTGAGGCCGTCTTATTGTTCATAGTCAAAAATGCAAAGTTTAACTAATGCAAGCAAACACCACTCTCATTTTATTCACACTCGCGTTAATTTCTATATTTACAGTATTTACTGATCGCCATGAAACACTGGACACTGCTTCATCTAACAGCATTCACTCATTCACTCACTCACTCATGCCCAGCTATATTTCACCTACGTTGTGGTTGTTTCCGGAAGAAAGCTTGCACCCAGCAGCTGCGCAGCTCGGCGAGGTCGTCCTTGTTGTGGAGCGGGAACACCTGGGAGATGACCTTCCCGGACTCCAGGCGGGGAACTACAGGAGGAAACAGAGACACTGATCACTGCAATGTCTGCCTTGTGATGATTCACTTACTTTAGTCCCTCGGCAGAGTGATCATGTAAGCCTTATGGAAATTATCAATTCTGATTGAACAGAGTTTTCAAATCACAACAATCACCTGTCTGAAGCAACTCTGTGAGCCTCAATTTGAGGGCAAATATTTATAGAAGATAACTCCTTTCTCATGCACGCTCGGAAGGCATGACGTGATATAAAATTGTTATTACCGTATTTTCTTGAGCATAGTGCAATGTAGTGCGCACCCAAGTATAATGAGCACCCCCCTCTAGCGGATTCAGTATTTTTGAAAAAATAGTCGGATATTATGCGCAGAAAAAAATTACACCGTACCCCTTCAGTGAATTCCAGTAAACGAACGGGTGATGAGAAACTTGGTCAGTACAAATTTCAAACAAAATCACCAGACATGTTGATTTACCATTTAAACTGTATTTCTTGTTCTGCTAGGCATTGTTTTACATCCAGGAAACAGCAATAAGCCGTACACACCTTTTCTTGGAATCTACCGGTGATTTGGTTAAAACTTACCCACTGATATGACGTCAAAGGATTTTAATGCAAGGATCGGGAAAAATTGTATCTGAAACTATTTTTGTATCAGGATTAATATGTTCCAATACCATGTTACATTAGTTGCAACTTTAATTAAATATATAACCTTAAACGTAGCACTTCGGTGCAGCTGATTGCGACCGACAGTTATTTTTTCAATTGGAACAATTTGACCAGTCACCGTCGAGGCTCCCGCGCACTTGTTCGCAAGAACTACTTTTAACAAATCAAAGTATGGCATTTATGATATATGTATCCATTCTGTCAACTAAAGTTTGTTTCAAGGTGTCAACAGTGGTAATCTGACAGTGGTTGCTGTTAATAACAGTGGGTTGTGAGATCTTACGATCGCTTCACACACGATTTCGTCGAAATTAATTAAAACAATATTTAATGGAATTTTGAATAAAATTAATTAAATAAGTTACAAACATAAGTCCAGATGTACAATGAACACTTTTTATAACCAGACAGTGAAATTATATGATTACATTGTGTACTCCAGTATGGATATGTTGACATGGTATTTCCGGTGTTACGTGCTCACGGTAATGTCTGCGTTGGGGGGGGGAAAATACATCAAAACTCATTATGGCGTTATAATGTGCACCCCCTTCTACACAGCTGTGTTTTTTAGGAAAAAAGTGTGCACTATACTGAAGAAAATACGGTACCTCCCAGTACTCTTTTGCATTATTATTAACTCCCATTAATCTATTGGATTGTTATTACCTCCCTGTAATCTATTGTTATTGTTATTAGCTGCCTGTGATCTATTGTTATTGTTAGTACTTCCCAGTAATCTATTGGATTATTATTACCTCCCTGTAATCTATTGTTATTGTTATTACCTCCCTGTAATCTATTGTTATTACCTCCCTGTAATCTATTGTTATTACCTCACAGTAATCTACAGGGTTATTATTACCTCACTCAAATCTATTGGATTGTTATTACCTCCCAGTAATCTATTGTTATTGTTATTTCCTCCCTGTAACCTATTGGATTGTTATTACCTCCCAGTAATGTATTGGATTGTATTTATTACTTCCCAGCAGAATCATTCCATTCATATTATAAATATTATTGGACTAGGTGTAACTGCTACTCACCAATGGGCTGACCTTCCAGGAACCTGATCTTGGCGAGCTGCTCTCCCTCCACAGCTCGCAGCTCACACAGCAGGTGGTAGAGGATGCTCTGTCTTTCCTGGCTGGTCAGGAAGGACTTCTCATCCTCAACACCAGCGAAACAATCCTGGTCCTCAAATGTGAACTCCTTCATCCCGCCTCCATAGTCCGTCTTCAGCGGCTTCTTGATGCCCAGCTCCTCCGTCCCTTTCAGTAAACTGTCAACGGCAAACGATGATCCGTCAAATATTGACCACATCTACATGGTAGGTTGTAGGTTGTAGCAGGGTCACGAGGGGTACGTGATCCTCCGGGTTGTGGTATTCAACCTAATGCAAGACCCATAAAACCCCATGTACCCTGAGTGATACTGCTACAACAAATTTATCTCACCAACATGTTTTAAGCTGCTATTGTGAAAGAATTAAAACAAATTCAAAATTGACAGAAAACAGTTGTTCGATTGAGTGGAGGTTAACTTGTGCTATGTCACATGACTTTCATTGACTCAGAAAGAGCATGATGCTTCGAAGAGCCTGTTTTCTTCATGGTGGGGTATAAGATCTACTAGGCACTGATCTTGGTGGAATACGTAGACTTGGCTTACACAATACCAATCACCATATAGAACCTACTGCTTCATCACAGCAGAAACGCTGATTCAGAAAGTCAGTGGAGTGAGTGAGGTAAAATTGTCAAATGAAACAGTCAGAAATATTTCAGCTACACCACAGTGACCTTGAGAGTCTTGACACAGTAAACCAGTGACTGAAAGCATGAGCAACAAGCAAGTGTGTGAGTGTGTGTGTGAGTGTGTGTGTGTGTGTGTGTGTGTGTGTGTGAGTGAGTGAGTGAGTGAGTGAGTGAGTGAGTGAGTGAGTGAGTGAGTGAGTCCTGACAGTGGATAGCCCAATAACAATGAAAGCATCAATGGTAACGGCGCACATAGCCTAAACAAACAACTCACTTCTCATACGTAGCTGTCATGTAGAAGCCATATATGCCAGAGTTGCTGTGATGACGGACATGAACGATGATCTGGGGAGTGCGAGTCTTGAGCCGTGCAAGGAGCCACATGAGAGTTGCATCATCAGCCTTGGCAGGAAACGTGAGAAGGACATCGCAGTTCTGGGTGGGGATGGTCTTCATCCACACCTTGCTGGACACCACCAGCCTCCTCGTCGTGTCCAGCCTCTTCCCAAACATCCTGTATGCTGCACACAACAAGACAGGAGTCAGACAGGATCAGTGTGGGGCGCAATCAGGACGTACGGCTAAAGAATGTCAACTCTTACTGGTTCTGTTATCAGTCGAGTTACCACATCACAAAACGCAACATCTTATTATTTAATATCCTTGGGTTCATAAGACGATTTCACACCATCTATCATGATTATGGTGATGGGTATCTGATCTACTGATGAGACTACAGGGCGATCCATAGTTAAGGAAGGAGAGTGCATGCAATACCTTAGTTCAATCATGATGACCTGTTCTGAAGTCAAGCCTGGGCCAGACACACCATTGTAAGGTTGGACACAGGCAATAGGAATGAAATCAAGCAATAATTAATATGTTTTTTTTAAATGCATTAACAGTACAGAAACATCTTGTCCAAAGTTTATAATGACCTCATTGGATGCATCTGTGTTGTCTGCCTGTGAACTGCATGATCTACAGTGAGTGAGTGAGTGAGTTTGATTTTACGCCGCTTTTAGCATTATTCCAGTAATATCACGGCGGGGGACACCAGAAATGGGTTTTACACATTGTACCCATGTCGGGAATCGAACCCGGGTCTTCGGCATGACGAGCGAACGCTTTAACCACTAGGCTACCCGACCGCCCCTCATGATCTACAGGTCTAGCCTGGTCTACAACACATGCTCAAGAGCAGTCAGTGTGACCACCAAATCAACATTTGAGTCTCTTGACATCAACATGACACAAGATCCACTAGTCAATTCTACGGGGTGATAAGCTTTGGAAAATAATGAAATAAGAAAATAATGAAGATTTACAAAAAAAATCTAATTTGCTATTACCATGATTACATATTATATACATATATTTCAAATATTCCTTTATAGCTATTTACAAAACAATTTCCAAAAGGATATATGAACAAAATTGACAATACACTCAAAAATATAAACTGTTTCTATTACTCAAATCACCTCACAAAGAATAGCATTTCCAAATAAAAGCCCTTCTCATCATATCAATACAAGATGGATGACATTTGAGTTAATGTAGTCCCGAGTGGAGACACAAACACCAGACAGGAACATCAATCGGTGTAGCAGCAGTTGATGCATCAGCCTGTGACATGGTAGATGTGGAAAGTGCAAGAGGCTATGTCATTGGAGAAACAGTGTCTTGAAGGGCTTGTCTCAGTACAGGAATGTAGCTCATGCAATATTCACAAGATGACCATCATGAAAAAATATAAATCACAAAACCGCTGTATGCAGACTAACAAAACATTTTGCTGCAACCTTGACCATGGCTCTTAGAATCTCCAGATGTAATACAGAGGACTCGCTTCAGCAACTGGCAATAATTACAACTCCTTTCAATAACCTACCATAATCACCTTAACCTCAATGATGGCCTTGACCTTAGCTTCACATTGATCCAATGACAATGTTCTAAATTACGACTTTAACCGTTATGATGATGTCACGCTATTGTTGTTACAATTGATTCTGAGACAGGAATTTACTGGCCATTCTGAACGTGCATTTTAACTAGTGAAACTGATGCAAATATAGGTCATTATGCAAAATTTTAGATACGTTATATATCAACCATAAAATGGTTTAAGTCAACATGGTCAAAGATATCTCACACCCCACTATAACATGTACAGGTCACAGTCAATCCTACACCACAGGAATATCTCACCCCACTATAACATGTACAAGTCACAGTCAATCCTACACCACAGGAATATCTCACACCCCACTATAACATGTACAAGTCATTAGGAATATCTCACCTCACAATAACATGTACAGGTCATAGTCAATCCTACACCACAGGAATATCACACACCCCACTATAACATGTACAAGTCAATAGGAATATCACATCTCATTATAAGATGTACAACTCACAGTAATATCACACTTCACTATAACATGTACAAGCCACAGGAATATCACACCTCACTATACCATGAACAAGTCACAGGAACATCTCACCTCACAATACCATGTACTCAGGAATATCTCACCTCACTATACCAAGTACAAGTCACATGAATATCTCACCTCACTATACCATGTACAAGTCACAGGAATATCACACCTCACTATACCATGTACAAGTCACAGGAATATCTCACCTCACTATACCATGTACAAGTCACAGGAATATCTCACCTCACAATACCATGTACACAGGAATACCTCACTATACCATGTACACAAGAATATCTCACCTCACTATACCATATACTTGGAATATCTCACCTCACTATACCATGTACACAGGAATATCTCACCTCAATATACCATGTACACAGGAATATCTCACCTCACTATACCATGTTCACAGGAATATCTCACCTCACTATACCATGTACACAGGAATATCTCACCTCCCTATACCATGTACACTGGAATATCTCACCCCACTATACCATGACACAGGAATATCTCACCTCACTATACCATGTTCACAGGAATATCTCACCTCACTATACCATGTACACAGGAATATCTCAGCCCCCTATACCATGTACACAGGAATATCTCACCTCACTATACAATGTACAAGTCACAGGAATATCTCACCTCACAATACTATGTACACAGGAATATCTCACCTCACTATACCATGTACACAGGAATATATCACCCCACTTTATCATGTACAAGTCACAGGAATATCTCACCTCACTATACCATGACACAGGAATATCTCGACTCACTATACCATGTACACTGGAATATCTCACCTCACTATACCATGTACAAGTCACAGGAATATCTCACCCCACTATACCATGTACAAGTCACAGGAATATCTCACCTCACTATACCATGACACAGGAATATCTCACCTCAATATACCATGTACACAGGAATATCTCACCCCACTATACCATGTACAAGTCACAGGAATATCTCACCTCACTATACCATGACACAGGAATATCTCACCTCAATATACCATGTACACAGGAATATCTCACCTCACTATACCATGTACACTGGAATATCTCACCTCCCTATACCATGTACACTGGAATATCTCACCTCACAATACCATGTACACACGAATATCTCACCTCACTATACCATGACACAGGAATATCTCACCTCACTATACCATGTTCACAGGAATATCTCACCTCACTATACCATGTACACACGAATATCTCACCTCACTATACCATGACACAGGAATATCTCACCTCACTATACCATGTTCACAGGAATATCTCACCTCACTATACCATGTACACAGGAATATCTCACCCCACTATACCATGTACACACGAATATCTCACCTCACTATACCATGTACAAGTCACAGGAATATCTCACCTCACAATACCATGTACACAGGAATATCTCACCTCACAATACCATGTACACAGGAATATCTCACCCCAATTTATCATGTACAAGTCACATGAATATCTCACCTCACTATACCATGTACAAGTCACAGGAATATCTCACCTCACTATACCATGACACAGGAATATCTCACCTCAATATACCATGTACACAGGAATATCTCACCCCACTATACCATGTACAAGTCACAGGAATATCTCACCCCACTATACCATGTACACAGGAATATCTCACCCCACTATACCATGTACAAGTCACAGGAATATTTCACTTCACTATATTATGTACACTGGAATTTCTCACCCCACTATACCATGTACACAGGAATATCTCACCCCACTATACCATGTACAAGTCACATGAATATCTCACCTCACTATACCATGTACACTGGAATATCTCACTTCACAATACCATGTACACAGGAATATCTCACTTCACTATACCATGTACACAGGAATATCTCAGCTCACAATACCATGTACACAGGAATATCTCACCCCACTATACCATGTACAAGTCACAGGAATATCTCACCTCACTTTATTATGTACACTGGAATTTCTCACCCCACATGCAATACCATGTACACAGGAATATCTCACCCCACTATACCATGTACAAGTCACATGAATATCTAACCTCACTATACCATGTACACAGGAATATCTCACCTCACAATACCATGTACACAGGAATATCTCACCCCAATATACCATGTACACAGGAATATCTCACCCCACTATACCAAGTACAAGTCACAGGAATATCTCACCTCACTATATTATGTACACTGGAATTTCTCACCCCACAATACCATGTACACAGGAATATCTCACCCCACTATACCATGTACAAGTCACATGAATATCTCACCCCACAATACCATGTACACAGGAATTTCTCACCCCACAATACCATGTACACAGGAATATCACTCAACTCACTATACCATGAACAAGTCACAGGAACATCTCACCTCACAATACCATGTACTCAGGAATATCTCACCTCACTATACCAAGTACAAGTCACATGAATATCTCACCTCACTATACCATGTACACAGGAATATCTCACCCCACTATACCATGTACAAGTCAAGACGGACAGCAGGCAACAAGTCACAAATGCCAACCTCCACGTGCCTGATGCAGATTGAATTAACAAGGAGGCTTGTCACCTTCAGCCTTCAATAGACGCCAGTAAGTACGTGATTATGTCTCCCTGTCTCCCTGTCTTTATACAGACATCCCCTTGTTCACGAGTGTGGGCATGCACAAGACGTCACTACAGTTGCCTGATAGTTACCTGCCTGGCTCCCTCATATATCCGACACAGGAGGAGTAAACATCACAACAACGACAAAATACTAACTCATATACTCCAGAAGGAACAATTTCATCTTGCCGTAAATGTCGCTGACTGCACAACAGGAATTACAAGATAACTAATTGATGTCTCATTAAGCCAGCAGGAAGGACGATGCAAGATATGTAAAACAGGTTGTATCTTAATGAGACGGCAACACAATGGGCGAGCGGCTAACTACACAATCACAAACTTAGCACTGTTCCCAATTCAGTCCCACTATGTTACTAGAAGTATTGATTAAATTCCCT